TATTTTGCCCACCATAATAATACAACATTATATAAAATAAGTATGTATTTTTTTATTGAGCTACACATTCATAGAGTAAAAAAATGGACAGCGCTTTTACAGTTTTAGTTCGTTCTAATACATCTAACCATTTAGTTCAGTCTAATAATAGTGGCCATCCATGATTTACGCATAGAGTGGGTTCAGGCTAAAACGTCACCACAGCAAAACATCTACAACGGCTACAAATCTTATGGCGAAAACGGAACCAACTAAAATCTTATGGGGAAAACTAGTTTGTCATTAGATAATCGGATTGCAGTATGTTTAGGCAGGGAGACTCTATAAGGCCCTGTTGTAGAGTATCCCTGGTTTAGGTAATAAATATGTCTACTCTGCCGACAGTGTTTTGAAAGGGCATCCCATAGCCGATTTAGATTCAGATATTGTGATTGGAAAGGCATTCCAATTTAGCGTGAAAACATCGCAACCTTTGCTTTTAGTAATATTCTAACAACGGGGAACTAATAAATAAAACTCAACGTCATACTTTGTTGTATATATTATATGTTGTTATAATGTTGCTAATGTTGTGAAGCCCATTTCTGATGTCCCCCGCCGTGATATTGCTGGAATATTGCTAAAAGCGGTGTAAAACACAAACCTCACTCACTTGCTAATGTTATAAGGAAATGAAATAAAAATCAAAAGTCAACGTCATACTTTGTTTTATATATTGTGATTTTTTTTAGCCCCGAAATCAGTAGCCGTTTTCGCCAAACAAATTTGGTGCCGATCTGCTGTGGTGCCGTTTTAGCTATAACCCCATAGAGTGATGTCCCTTTGATCACTCCCTTTCAAAACGCGAGTTAGAAAATACCTGCAGATTCATGTAACTTCCCAGTTGTTCCCTGACCTACTATTTCTTGTCGAGGTAAGAGTGTTCAAAACGGAATATGATGCTTGAGGGTGCTACGGAATGAATGTGAATCGTGTCGTGATTGAACTTTGAACAGGACCTGTTGAAGGGAACCCGATCTAAAACAGGTTGGGGAAACCTACCGATCGGCCTAACGGGATATTATACAGTTATAGGCTGTTCAGTGTTCTGCCTATTTTGTGTTAGGCCGATCGGCCTATAATTATGATATTTATCAAAAAAAATTGGGTAGACTGCACTTTACGGGTCCCCGAAAGTTTTCGCTACAGACATGCACAGAAGCCATATTTACATCGAAGCGAGCACTAACGCTGACGCCATTTTTTGTTTGCTCCAGCGAATAACAACATCGCTGTTTTGGCCCATTAAATTACCCTTGGATACTAATCGATAATCTTCTCTACCCCTTCGTTCCTCAACAATGTTTTAGGGTTTGTATTATTTCCTGGGTTTGTCAATTGCAATGTTTATTCATATTTAAAGTAGACGCTGACATAAAAATACCCCAGTAATGTATTGTTTCGTTGAAATGAAATATTTTAGCCCTTAGATGCTTCAATGTATCCTTCTTTTTCCATTTTCATTCACAATAAACAAAACAGGTAAGTTTACATGATATGTAGCACAGCAAGAAAACAAATATCGAAACGCTTCACTTACCTTACATTACAAGAACAAATCTGCGCCTGAATTGAATTGACTTACCTTACAAGAACAAATCTGCGCTTGAATTAAATTCATCTGTGTTTTCATTTTGCATGGCATTTTCTTTATTTTCATTTTCAACCATTTTAAAGTATTCATGTGGTTTTTTTTGGTCAAGTACACGGCGGATAAAAGTGTGAAATGTAACGAAAGGATCATCAGAACAACGTAAATATTTCTTCCTCACAATGTACTCCACAAAATAACTATCATACAATCCTTTCGTAGTTCCATACCTGGGCAGGGACGCTTTCACCGCTCTCCACGTACTCTCAATTTTATTAGTGCACGCACCATTCTCTGCATTCACAAATTCCTTACTATGATTCACTGTCACATGCTCGTATCCCATCTGATTCAGCCTAGCATACGCCTTCCAACAATCAGAATGAATTATCGATCCCGGTCGCACCCACTTTCTCAGCACACTCAAAAGGGTATCTGCATCACGCTTCTCCATAACTTCAAAAAACATCCTGTTACTTTCTTTCTCGATACCCCCCAAACACCCACACACCATCCACTCGCCTTCCTCGGTGAAACTTTCGCTTCCCAAACTTACTCTCATCAATCTCAACTTCAATCCCTGGCCCACCTATCATCTCATTCTCCTCTTCCATCATAAACAAACACACATCTCTGCAATAATTAAACCAGTCAGCCAAAGTGTGATCAGAACCCAGACGCAACTGCACTCTCACAAAATTCTCTCTCACTTGATAAACCCAATAAAACGTCAATTTCATAATTTCACTAACGGACAAATGAGACTTAAAAAACCAAGAATCACGCCTTGCTACAATTTTATAATTGCATTTTTTATTTGAGCAACGCCACACATAACCCTCACTACGACTCAAATCCTTTCGCTTTCCTATATACTCCCACTGTCACACTTCCCACTGAAATTTCCAATCAAACCAAACGCTTCCAACCAATCCATCAACTTTCTCTCATCTCTACACAACTCATACAAATCATCATACACCATTCTCCTTACAGCCATAGCTAAGCAAGTCAAATAAACAAGATTGAAATCAAGCGACAAGCAAAATACAACTCACCAACCGTGCGCGTTAAAGTTGTGGCAGTCGTAGTAACCCACTACCTTATTTGGAACATTCGACACGTGCGTCCACAATTGACCAATCAGATAAAAGGAACGTCATCAGGATTTCCCCTTGATTACTAACGATTGGATTGATGTTTTGGAGCATTACTAAAATTCTATCGAAAAACTATGGTCTCTCAGATGAAGTTTTAAATTAAACTTTTGCCAGTAAACACGAAAATGACCTCTAATTTCGTCTAAAATGTCTCCTAACAGAGATCAGCCCGCTCTGGCGTGCCTCTCTATATATAAGACGTGCTGCGCGCGTCACTTACTGCGCGAGCTATAAAGAATACATTTCTACTTCCGGGTCTGGGGACCCGTAAACTGCAGGTGGTGAATTTCCACATGAGGATATTAACATCATTCAAGTTTTGATGTCCTGAGTTTTTCATTCAAACCAGAGACCATATACCATGCCGTCATATGATTCCGTGGTACTTACGTTTCCGTGGTATTTTCTAATGACAATTTCTCACGAGCCACTCGCCAAATCGCGCCACCTATCGATCGTTTACGTTCATCAGTTGATCGGCACGGGTCTGAACAAAACATGTTCAGACTTTCATCAATTTGCGTACGTACAGTCATCTACTATTAAAAACTAATGCAACTTTATGTCTATCACGTTATGCATTTTTTGCACGATCTTTGCAAACATATTCTATAAACTTACTCAGCTTCAATGTTTTCCAAACATCACTCGTCTGCTAGCTGATGTCATCAATAAAAACAATCACATGACCTAAGGGGGGAATCCCAGCTCTATTTTTTAAACTATAGAAGTCCGATAGGGTCATCTCTTAAGTTGTTTTTTCACTTTTCATTTCATGTATCCCGTATCAACTCTACATATTCTATGAACTGGAAATTTATGTTGAAGAAATGTGACTATTGTGTAAACAATGAACGGACAACAATGAACTTCAGAATGACAAAAGTGTTTTATTGACATTAAATGATACAAAGGTATGTCGTCGAACACTATATTATGTTTATATGACTTGGCAATATGAGCGATCATATTCATAGTCGTTAATTTCTTAATACCACAGAAACCCATGACGCGAGGGTAATAGATCTCTGTTCAAATCCTTTTTGAAAATTTTCATCACATAATAAAGGAGTTTGGAAATTGCTAATGAAATATAAGTCTATAATATTTTTGACAATTTTCACAGAAAATTAATGACATAGGTATTCAGTTTTTGTTTGCAAAAGGAAAATCTGTGTTCTAAATGAAACATCTTTTCTTGAACATGATATAAATTTCCATTTTGTCCCAAAACTTATTTTTTTCAAGCTGAGGAGGTCCATTAAACTATTCATCTCTATCAAACCATTTTGTGAGGAAATTGAAAATTTGTGAAATAATTAGAAAATGTTCAAATCGGCCAAAATAGGCAAAATGGCCTATAATATCCCATTCGGCCTATTATAGGCCGATTGGTAGGTTTCCCAAACCTGTAAAAAATTACTTGAAAACAGTGTTGAATCTGTTGATTGATTAATCACTGTTATCTTGAAGAGGGGATTTGTCAAAAGTGAAAGGGTTTAACTGATAAATTCTGTGTGATTCAAGCTGAACTTGAGCACAAAAACATATCTGATCCAAACTAATGTGGTTATGTGTTTTCATGGTGTATGTGTTTTCTTTCACTTTGTCATATTATCAAATTGTGTATGGTTGTTTTTGGGGTACACTTGCTGAAACATCTTTAGGATATGGTATTATAATTATGATTAGGTGTAATAACCAGTTCTTTACATTTTCAGTGAACACCACATCATCCACAAGTTCATGATGGAAATACAATGAGAACCACAGAATTGGCTCTGTCACTGAAACAGTTGTACTCGTGGACTGTGAGAGGGCATTACTGGAAATACTGTAAACGTACTTATTTTCGCGTGGTGCAATTTTCGCCGAAATTGACAGTTTAGACTACATCACGCGGTCAATTATTCGCGCAATCAGTAATTGCCGGAACTGCCAGCTGTCTCTTTGGCCGCCACTAATAGCAGTGAAAACAAACAGAGTGGCTTAAGCTGTCAGGTGGCGTTTATTGCTTATTCACAGGAAATTCCTATCTGTGCGATATACTAGTACACAGTAATCCGTTTACTCACGGAAGTATTAAGTGCTTAGGAAGCACCTACCCCCGAGACACCTGGACTTCCAGATCCAAATGACTGTAAAGATGACACTGAGGTCGAAAAGTTGTAATCGCTGCAAATGCTGCAGTAGATCTACTCCAGGAAGAAATGGCGACAAGTGACACGTCACGTGACCCATCATTCCGTAAAAGGAAACGTGGGGAATACCGTAATTATGATGCAGAAGTACGGGCGAAAATTGCTGTGTATGCGATTGAACATGGTGTAATGAAGGCAGCCCGTAAGTACTCTTGTGAACTGAAGAAGAAAGTCAATGAATCTACTGTCCGTAGTATGAAAGCAAGTTACTTGAAACAGCAAAGTACAAGTAAAACGGCAGAATCTCCACACCGATTGGTTAAGGCTGTCCGAGGTCAGAGGCCAAAGCTGGGTCAATACGAAGACGAGATTAAGAACTGGGTGGAAAAAACAAGATTGTCTGGTGGTGCTGTCAACACAAGAACATTGCTTGCAGCAACTGATGGAATCATGCGAAAACGTCACAAATCTGTGTTGAAAGAATTTGGTGGACATGTTGAGTTGACTGATTCCTGGGCTAGATCGCTTCTAAGACGCATGGACTTTGTTAAACGCAAGGGAACTAAAGGTGCAAACACTGACTGTGAGAGTGCATTACTGGAAATAGATGACCTGACACAAGAACCTGTCACTGATATAGGTGCAAACACTTACTGTGAGAGAGCATTACCGGAAATAGATGACCTGAAACAAGAACCTGTCACTGATATAGGTGCAAACACTTACTGTGAGAGAGCATTACCGGAAATAGATGACCTGAAACAAGAACCTGTTACTGATATAGGTGGAAACACTGACTGTGAGAGTGCATTACCGGACATAGATGACCTCAAACAAGAACCTGTTACTGATATAGGTGGAAACACTGACTGTGAGAGTGCATTACCGGACATAGATGACCTGAAACAAGAACCTGTTACTGATATAGGTGGAAACACTGACTGTGAGAGTGCATTACCGGACATAGATGACCTGAAACAAGAACCTGTTACTGATATAGGTGCAAACACTGACTGTGAGAGTGCATTACCGGACATAGATGACCTGAAACAAGAACCTGTTACTGATATAGGTGCAAACACTGACTGTGAGAGTGCATTACCGGACATAGATGACCTGAAACAAGAACCTGTTACTGATATAGGTGCAAACACTGACTGTGAGAGTGCATTACCGGAAATAGATGACCTGAAACAAGAACCTGTCACTGATTTAGGTGGAAACACTGACTGTGAGAGAGCATTACCGGACATAGATGACATGAAACAAGAACCTGTTACTGACACAGGTGCAAACACTGGCTATGAGAGAAGATTACCGGACAAAGGATACCTGAAACAAGAACCTGTTACTGATACAGATATTGGTAGTAACAAACCAACACTCGTTGATGTAGACACCCCAGAGGTTAGCATTTCGGGTGAGACGCAGTGCAGATGGGGTTCAAAACAGCAGAAGATTATTAAAGCTTGTCGAGATTACCACTACAACATGTTGATGTTCATTGAGGATCTTGATAAAAATGGCCCTGATGGAATGATTATGCCAAAGAAACCGAACGTAGATCTAACATCACTCTTTGGGGGTCGTGAGAAGCAGTCAAGCCTCCTAACAGGCAAAAATCTCCATATATATTTAACAAACAATTTATGTTCAGTGGATCCAGGACACTGCCCTACAGTGTCCCAGGTGGGCCAGTTTACAAGCCTACAAAACATTTTAGAACCACTCAGATCAGGCTATGAGTTGTTGAAACAATGTAATTCAAGCTCTCTTTCCGCCTCACTTGATTATGGGGAATGGCTGAATGAAGCATTTGAACTAAATTGTAGGGAACTATATAATGGGAGAAAACCAGCCCCTACTTGGAAACAATGGCTTAAAAGAGAGAAGTTGGCATTGAAGACTCTTATGCCAGAAAACTACGAGAGATTTCAAAAGTGTTAGGAAAATATACCCGCTTCAGGAAACTAGGTCTTTCCTTTTCAGAGGTATATAGTCGTAGGAAACAAATTGAAGGCATGTTGATAACAGATAGCAGTTTGGCTCAGTACTGGCAGTAATACCAGTGCTGCATGAAAGCCAGGCAGCATAGTTATAAAATATACCACTCAACCATGAATGCTGTTGTTTTTTTGTATGTATTACAAAGCTATTTGTAATTGATATTTCCCCAGTTCACAATTTGATTTGAGGGTTGTTTTGCTCACTGCCTGCTGTTTGTATCACCCACTGAATGACCACAAATTGAAAGAACTCATTTTATTTTCACTTGTTGGAATACAAGCTCCCCATGCAGGCTTATGAGTGGGGACGTTCTCGTTTGTAGCCTGTGTCAGTAGCTGGGTCAACCTCATACCCAGCGCACTGGTCGCTCACATGGCGTGGGTATCTAGGTCGGTCAAACGTTCCTTATAAGAACGTTTGACCTACATAACCTCCTGTCGCTCATGTGGCACGGCCTTTCACATGGCTAGGGTATCTAGTTTGGTCAAACATCCTTACAGGAACGTTTGGCCTACATACCCAGCGCACTGCATTCATATTTCCTAAACTGCCGTATTGACCCATCCTCGATAATCTCCAGGGCATACTTTACGTCCACTATACCCTGGATGCATCCACAGCTTGGCCCGATAATTATATTACCTCCCTTTGCTGGCTCCGCATTCTCACAGTAGCTATAGTTTGGCATGAAATGCATGTGGACCCGTTTTTTGGTAAATATCTCTTCATCCAATGACCCAATCGATCTCAAACTGTGCAAGTGGATGTTTTGTCAGACAACCTAATCACATTGTAAATCACCGATTTTATGCATTTGTATTAAAGAATCTGTCTATGTAACTGTCAACAAAATAAACAGCAGAACGCAGACGGCTTGCAGAGGGAGGGAGCCAATGACCTGTAACAGCGGCAGTGTTGGGTCATAAAGGTCAACGTTCGTCAATGTAGGTCAGCTATGCACGTGACAGGTATGAAGAGGTGTCACAGGTCGTGAATAGGGTAAGGTGGGTGCCAACTGTTAACCATCATACGGAGTTTGTTTCTCTGAGTTGTTCAACATTAACCACAAAACCCATTAGTGAGAATTATTCTGTAGGTTAAAATCTTTAAATTTGTAATGTTAATGTCATATTTTGTTAATGTCATTTTATGCAGTACCTAAGTGGAAATGCATTTAAAGAACACATAAAGTATATTTACACTAAATCATTAATCGAACCACCTATGGTTAGAACTCAACAACTATTAAAGCCCCGTTCCCTCGGACACAAGCACACACAATCATGCACACTCATTGAAGAAAAGATAGAATGAAGACAAAAGTGTTATGTTTTGATGTCGTTCACATTCCAAATGAAGCAATGCATTTCTAATAGCTTTAAGCATATAGATAGTTAATATTTATATTTTCATGATAATTTTATGTGAAATGAGTGTTTCATGTTACACTATCAGTCGTTGGAAGTAGTCAGTGCTGTCATTGTTAAAAGAAGTTATATTTCTTTGAGCATTTCTTGCTGGATACTATTATTATCTGTAAATATAATAACAGAATTAAACTTCATCAAGTTCACTCCATTCTTCCACAGAGGAGTCATCAGTGTCCAGACGAATGACAACTGGATTAACTGTTTGCTCCTTCAAGCCATCTTTGAGCCAGTACTCTTTCTCCACCTTCTTGACATGTTCAACACATGCATGCCAGCGTGCTATGTCAATGTCACATATAGCAGTCTTGACAATGTGCTTGACATCATTCAACTTGAATGATTGATTTTTCCGGGCCACTGTACTTTTAAGGTCTCCCCAACAAGTTCGATTGGGTTGAGAGCACAGTGGTACGGTGGTAATCTCAAGTCCTTATGGCCATGTTGGCGTAGCATGTTGTCAATGTTATATGTGGGTGGAGGTTTGTTAGGTTTAATCAAAGAGTACAACTGTGGTTTAGTGACCTTAATTGAAAATTGTATATTGTTATTTGTTAGCCATTGCTGCATATCTGACTTCTTTGTATTGGAAGTTGGGCACCTATTGTTTGGATCTCGAACACTGTGATAGGGAGCATTGTCCATGACAACAAGACTTTTGTAAGGCAGAGCTGGCAACAATTGTTCCTCAACATACTGTGTGAAAACCGTTGAGTTCATTTCTGTATGATAGTCCCTACCATCTGTGCTCTTTGACCGAAATACCAGATCACACCCAGGTAGGAATCCACGGTGGGAACCAGCATGAAGAACGATTAAACGTTCACCTTTGCCTGTTGGTATTTTCCTACCATCAGTGGGTAGCCACTGTCTTGCAGCAGTATGGTTTGCATTGACCCAGGTCTCATCCAGATATATGGGTTCGAACCCATCCTCTCTTGCCTGCTTAATTTCTCTCAGATAGTTCACCTTATTTTCACAATATCAGATCTCTCACACATTACAAGTTTCTGGTTTGCTACCTTCTTGTACTTGTATCCAAATTTGAGCAGTAGTTTGCTCAGCATAAACCTAGAAACATTAATGTCGTGATCCTCTGCAAGGATATGTTTTAACTTTCTTGTGGACAGGTGTTCATTTCGAGCGAATAGCCGGCGAATGACATCTCTGATGACCCTGATGTCAAAAGAATGTAACTTTGGATGCCTACCTTTTTGTACAAGGTTTTGTTTATTGGTTGTTGGTTTATTTTTTACAATTTTTAGCACGATGTTCATTTTCATGCCAAAAGCAAAAGTTGTACGTTTCATGTAATCCGACACCTTATAAATCAGTTTGCTACGTTTGCTCTCTTTTTAAAAAAAATTCAACACATTTCTAATTAAACGTTTAGCATCATCTGAATAAGCTTTCATGATGACAGCTAGCAGTAGTCAATGTGAATGATCCAAACGGTCTATCACTGTGCAGTGCACAGGTAACTATCATGAACTGCACGTGCATTTACCGTTATGACCCAACACTGCCGCTGTTACAGGTCATTGGCTCCCTCCCTCTGCAAGCCGTCTGCGTTCTGCTGTTTATTTTGTTGACAGTTACATAGACAGATTCTTTAATACAAATGCATAAAATCGGTGATTTACAATGTGATTAGGTTGTCTGACGAAACATCCACTTGCACAGTTTGAGATCGATTGGGTCATTGGATGAAGAGATATTTACCAAAAAACGGGTCCACATGCATTTCATGCCAAACTATAAGAAGCTAAGCCGCCGTTACATCCGAGCTTGCCAGTGTCAACACGGATAGCGGTCGCAGTCGCAAAGGTTTGTACGCAGTGCCACTGAGATTTTTGAGGAAATAATACAGACAAATTGACAGATCTGAAACTTTAATAAAATATATAAAAGAACTCCTTCTATATCTTTCAGAGTATCTCTGCATCAATTGTGTTGCCAAGTTTAAACTGTTAGATAATTTAAGAAGCGAAATTGAGTTGTGATTGGTCCACTCAACTTCCCAGCGTAGACACCTGATTGGATAAAAAGCTAGCAAAGGGAGGTAATAAAATCATCGGCGCTAAGCCGTGGATGCATCCAGGGTATAGTGGATAGTAATCGTAATGTATACCCTGGAGATTATCGAGGATGTATTGACCGGGCCGACAGAGGGACATGCCCTCAAGTATACTTCTCATCGCTACTCGAGCACGGCATTACGTTGGATAGTTAGCCTTTCGCCCGACTGACCCCATGCTCACTAAACCGTGAAATATTTCTTAAACTATTTGACCGATCTTCATGAAATTTTGCATGTACCTTCCTTATTCATCCTATGATGGTTCTCATTATTTAGCTATATTTTCATACTGCATAGGGCTCGTAATTCGTGAAAAATATCGCTATGGGGGCTTGTCATCGGACTGTCGTTCCCTATACTACTACCTGTTACTGATATAGATGCAAACACTGACTGTGAGAGAGAACTACTGGACATGAGTGACCTGAAACCAGAACCTGTTACTGACACAGTTGCAAACACTGACAGAGAAAATTACTCCACATAGATGACCTGAAACAAGAACCCATTACTGAAACATAGCAAACACTGACTGTGAGAGAGAATTGCTGGAAATAGATGACCTGAAACAAGAACCCGTTACTGATATAGGTGCAAACACTGACTGTGAGCGAGAAATGCTGGACATAATTGACCTAAAACAAGATCCCGTTACTGATGTAGGTGCAAACACTGACTGTGAGAGAGCATTTCTGGAAACAGGTGATGTCAAGAAAAGCAAAGCTCGTGAGGTTCCAGCAAAGCATTCTCATACTTGTAATGAATGTGGGAAAA